TGCAGCTTCTCGTTGGTGAAGTTGATGCACAGCTGCTCAAAGCTGTTGAACTGAGGAGGGAGGGCAGAGAGCAGGGTGTCAGCCGGGACCCAGACAGAGCCTCCCAGGGGCCGGGACTGAGGGACAAGTGACAAGCAGAGCTCAAATTTGCTGAGGGCCAACTAGCGTCAGGCGCTGCCCAGATGCTTGAACACCGACCCTGGGACGGTGCTGCATCAGCCCTGCAAGAAGCCCTTCTCGGTGACCATCCCCTGCAAAGGCACAGAGCAGCTTAGTACCTGCACAGGAGGGTGGAGGCAGAGGGAAGTAGGAGGGAAGGGGAGGACAGGGGGCGCCCAAACCTCGGATGCCGTCTCCTGTAGTTAATGAAAATCATTATGGAGGCGTGCCTGGGTGGTGCAGTTGGTTAAGCGTCCTACTCTTGATCTGAGCTCAGGTCATGATCTCACAGTTCGTGAGTTTGAGCCCCACATGAATGCGGGAAACAGGCTCAGGCTCCGAGCCATCAGCCCAGAGCCTGGCGCGCGGGGCTTTCAGGCTCCGCAGTCAGAGATGGTGGTATGGCTGGTCGGGACGGCGCAACGACCTAAGCCACCCGAAGCCCCTATTTCCATGTCTTTTAAAAATTTTTTTTAATGTTTATTTACTTTTGAGAGAGAGGAGCAGAGCACGCCCATGAGCAGGGGAGGGGCAGAGAGAGAGAGCTGGGGCAAAAGCAAGGCTTGGGCAGCTGTCAGCACAGGCGAACGGGGAGCCTGAAACTGTGAGATCATGACCTGAGGCAAGATCAGATGCTTAACAAGCTGAGCCACCCAGGTGCCCCTAGGTGCAATTAATTAAATTTAAAATGTAAATTCAAATTGAGTTCTTCTGCTGCACCAGCCTCTTTTCAAGCACTCCCTTTAATATGTGTGGCTAGTGGCTACCATCATAGATGACCAGGCAGTAACGTCTGTCATCTCAGAGGACTTGCCCAAAGGTGACGTGGTTTTTTCAATAAGCGGGGCCCTTCTTGATTCAGCGCTGGCTCATCACTTAGAGTCTCGATAGAAGGAACCACTTAATTGCCTATGAATGACACTGCCGTTGTTAACCTCCCTATGGAGAGTTCCCTCCTCCTCTGCTTGGATTCTCAATGAGTAGCCTCCGCTTCCAGCTAGATCCTTGGCAAATATTGAAACATCTTTCTTGGACACATCTCCCTATTGGCTGCCTTTCTGCACTTTGGAGCGTATCCTCCCAGTAATGCCCCCAAATCTGTGTGGAGATTTGTGGCCGGCCCAGAGGATCTGCCAGCCAACCTTTCTGGTTTTGAAGATGCTTAGGCACTGATATCTCAATAGTACCCTTTCCCTGGGTTTCAGTCGAAATGATGGACGGAGCCATCTCTAGGTCTTTTCTGCTCTGAGGTCCTGTGGTTCTGTGACCCCTTTGGAGGAAACAGACTCTCGCCCATGGAAGAGGCAACCCGTGAGCATAGGAAATGAACTCGTCCTGTCCTGGGCTGGGAGGTGAAACCACCACACCTCTACCATTAGAAAGTGTTCAATGGAAAGGAGGGTTTCACTGGATGCACAGTGGCCTCTGGGGCAGCTACTTACCCTGTACTTTGGGGTTGGAGGCGGTCATGAGGAAGACCCCTCTTCTGCTTCTTGCTTCCCAGCTGAGGAAAGAGAAAAACACGTTTCATGTCAAAAGCGCAGCATGGAGACAGGCAGCCCCATTCAGTGCTCCATGTCAGGGAGACACATTCTCAAAAGGCTTTTCTTAGGACTAGGTGAGGTGGCCCTCACAGGAAAAGACACCTACCTGGGAAGGGTTGAGTGGGATGACCATGGTCTAATGGTCAAGGAGCACTATGCTTTCTGGAGAGGGTGTAGCCCTTTGTGACTTAGAGAGGGCTACACATAGGGGACAAACTGTTCCCATTGCGGAGGGCAGGAAGAAAACCTGCAGACCATCTGGAGGCATTGCGAGGTGGTGGCATTCCCAATGAATTCAGGAAATTTGCAGCTCTTGCCCCATATTGGTGGCAGCCACCTTGGGCGACTCCCATCAGGCCATTCCCTGTGGTCCTACCACGATATGATTGGGTAGGAGGCAGGGCTGGGCTTGGCCTGAGCCTCAGACAGAGGAGAGGCTGGGGAGCAGAAAATAAACACTGCACATTTGGAGCACTCTTCCAAAGCAGTATTACTCCACCCAGAGGTGAGAGAGACCCAGCCAGACAGTACAGTTGATGGAAGCTCTCGCCCATGGGATGCATGCGCACCTCTCCACTGCACTGTCATCCATGGCCTCCCTCAAATAACTGTCACCCATTCATCCACTTTGCAGAGTTAAATAAGTGGGATTTGTTTCCTTGTTTTCCATTTTGGCCACTAGGGGCATCAGCACAGGACTGGACACAACAAGGGGTCATTAGGTACCTGGAGCCTCCTCTTCTTTGAGAGAAGGTGATTTCTGGAACAAACCCACCACCTGTTTCATTCAGGGGGTCTTTGTTCTTCTCCAGCCATCCTGTGATGTTGTAACCCACCTGGAGGGGACAAGCCAATGGTTGCCTTCAGGTCCCCACAACTTCCACCTTTTGGGTCCCAGGCCAGAACCTCTACCTGAGCGGTACCTGCTCTGGGTTCCCACAGATCAACCTCAGCCTTATCTCTGGGGCTTCAGCTCTTGACCTGATGACTTTCCTGGAGTCCTGGGATGTCCCTGAACCACAGTAGAGGTGGAGTCCCCCATTATCTGCTTTCATGGGCATTTGCAGTTTGCCTGTTTAGGTCACCCTGTCTTGACTTTCCCCACAAACAGGACTCCCAGCTACTTTCTGTCGGGGTGTGACGCCTCCTCTTGCAAGTCTGGTTACGGCTGGCTACTGTGAGCCTCCCTGACACTCCTGGCTCTTCCACCCAGGTAGGTTGATCTTCTTCAGGCTCCAGCCCTTGCTCCGACTGGCTGGCCTCGGCAAAATATCGATGAGCTACATGAAGAGCTCCCTACAAGTCTCCCTTGCTCAAGGCATCCATAGCCGCCTGAGTGGAAGGGCACATGGCCGGTCCATGTGTTTATTAGTGGACATCCATTAATTTCTATTCCTGTTTTGCTACGTGGCTTCTTGGGGAGGCAAGAAGGAAAGCATTTCAAATTCTTCCACTGGCGTAGAGAACCGGAAAAACGATAAGCTTAAAAACCTTTGGGCTTTCCTTCCCCTGTAGCAAACATAGACATTCATCACCTGCGGGCGCTTGCTGAAACCTTCTTGGAGGTGCATAGGTCCCAGTAGACTTTGAATATTCCATTGCTATCAATAGAGCCCTCTCTCATTTCGCATCGCCGATGCAGGGAGGTGGCGGAGAAGACACTACAGTCGGCCTGCGCTGCTGTTTACTCTACTTGTTGGCATGGCTGCCAAGTAATTTGTGGCATTGTTATGGTTATTCTTAAATCTGGCGATTTGATGCCCGATCCAGAAACGGCTTTCTGTTAGCTCGTACTGAGCTGCTGTTTCCTGCAGTTAAACCACAGAAGCTCAACAAACTCCAGTGGTAACAGAGAACACGCAGGCGTTCCCACAGCAATACCGCCAAAATGTATGGGAAATAAAACACATTGTCAGGCTGGCTGAACAACGTGGTCTCCCCTATCAGTTATTCAAATAAAGCTAATTCCCTCTTCCCCAAGGACTAAGTTTGTCATGAGTGAAAAAATCCTCCAGAGATATTACGTTTTGTTGCTGACGTGGGCAATCTAGAAGGATAAGTTAATCCATTGGGGGATGACCTACAAACTGATGGACTTTTCCCACACTGCCTTGAGAACTGTCCGAATCTAAGTGCAGCTGTGGGGCATAAACAATGGTGTAATAGCAGTGAACTGCTGTGGGTTCTTGAGCATCCTTGGCTGGATTGCTTTGGATTTCTCAGGGAGGTGATGAGGAAGTATGAGTCAAGTCATTTTACTGAGCTGATCACCTGGCTTCTATGGCAGCTGCCACCAGCTGGAGGCAGGAAGCCTCAGCAAGATCCTGTTTCCAGGAAAGGACCTACAATAGCCAGGCAGCCTGCAGCAAGAAGATAGATGGCGCGGGAAGTGCCAACAGGGTACTCACGGTGCCTGCATGAGTGGGCCAGGCTTCGAGGCCTCGGGCCCCTTGCCTTTGCCTCCCTTGGGCTTGAGGAAGTTGCTGGACTTTCCCGGAGTCAGTTTGTCATACAGGGCCGCCACTTGGCGTCGGTGGCCAACAGGGAAGACACTGTTCCTCAAGATGGAGAAGATGCCCATGGGCTGAAGGAAGAAGCGTTGTAGATGTTGAAACCATAGGACCCCAGCAGGGAGCCCTCCCGGAAATCGGTGTTGGCCTGGGGGTGGTGGGAGGGGGAGTGCCCCAGACACCCGGCGTGGCCAGCAGGAAGCAGAACTCTGGGCATAGACCCCAGGAGCGGTGAAGCTGCTCCAAGGTCTGGTCTTCAAATGCCAGGCCATTTACACTTGAAAGAGACTAAGAATTCGTGAGTCTAACAGAAGAGATGGAAGTCTGAAAGAACTGCCAACAAATGCTAATCCTCCAAACAGTGGTGCCAGGCAGCCCCAACCTCAGGGAAATGGTGAAATCAGTGACACCCGTCCTCTCTGCATTTAATTCTCTGTTATCCAGCTCACCCTTGCCTCTAAGTGGCGTTCTGGCTGCAAGAACCACATATGGTTCTTCTCAAAGAAGAGAAAGAGCTCATGGGGGAGCTCATAAAACCATCAGTGACAATATCTATGGAGGTCTGGATTTCTAAAGGAGAATTTCAGAAGGCAGTGCCCAACCCCAGCTCAAACGAGGAGACATTTCAGGCTCTGTGACAGCGGACAGGGGTATTTGTTGGTGTTAGAGGACAGGTGGAGATTGTGTGTGCAGCCTGTTTGGGGAGACTTTTCCTGGGAGGGTTGAGGCTGGCTCACATCGAGGACCCCAGCCTGCTTTCTCACCCAGGCTGAGTCTCAGGAGACAACATATATTTCTCCCTATCTCTTGAATTTTTACTTTTTAATAATTTTAAACTTGCAAAAAGGGGTGCAGAGCATTCCTACCGTCCTTCATTCAGCTTCTCCAAATGTTAATGCAAGCTTTGGTAGCGACAATGAAAACCAGAAAATTAATTTTATTGATACAATACTATGAACAGACTGTTCACATTTTGTCTCTTCTGTCAGTGTCCTTTTTCCTGTCCCTTTTCTGCATTTGCTTGAACAGTATATATTCTTGAACTAGGCCATTTGCTAGAACATTCCTGATGGTGTGTGACTACAGGGGTGTGAATTAGGTTGTCTGGGTTAGAACCTGACTGTGCCATTCACAGGGTGTATAATCTTGAAAGTTTCTTCCCTTCTCTGTGCCTTAATGTTCCCACATCTGTGAAATGTGGTTGTATTGTGTCTTACACACACACACACACACACACACACACACACACACACCCTGCCATATATATGGTAGCTTGTGATGATCAATGAGTTGAGGCGTAACAGCCAACTAATGGTGACCATTGCAATCACTGTTGTACCCCTTTGCAGAGGAGGAACACAGAGGTCAGACCAACAAGGTCCTTGGTGGTGTTGCTGGTGCCTGCGGGTCCCCCGTGAAGTCGAGGGGAGCAAGCCCTGATCAAGAGTCCTGGCCTCTCTCTCCAAAGAAGCCCCTCCTCTGAGCAGCAGTTACCTGCCAGGAGGTCAATGCAGGCCTGCAGGTCAGGCCCAAAGTCGATGAAGACCCACTCGATGCCTCCTCTTGTACTCTCCTGCTCCAGCACGAACATGTGGTGGTTGAAAAACTGTTGCAGCTTCTCGTTGGTGAGGTTGATGCTGGCTTCTCAAAGCTGTTGTTATTTACTGAGGGAGGGGAGGGAGCAGAGGAAACAGGGGTGTCAGCGGGACGAACAGAGGAGCCTCCAGGGCTGAGGACTGAGGGACAAGTGACAAGCAGAGCTCAAATTTGCTGAGGGCCAACTGGCGTCAGGCAGCTGGCAGATCTTGAACACCGACCCTGAGGACGATTACTGCATCAGCAAGAAGCCCTTCTGGGGTGACCATCCCCCTGCAAGGCACAGAGCAGCTTAGTACCACCTACACAGGAGGTGGAGGCAGAGGAAGTAGGAGGAGGGAAGGGGGGGGAGGACGGGAAGCCCAAACCTCGGATGCGGTCTCCTGTAGTTAATATCATTATGGAAGCGTGCCTGGGTAAGTACAGTTGGTTAAGCGTCCTACTCTTGATCTGAGCTCAGGTCATGATCTCACAGTTCGTGAGTTTGAGCCCCACATCAGGCTGTGCATTGACAGTGCGGAGCCTGTTTGAGATTCTCTCTCCCTCTCTCTGTCCCTCCCCTGCTTGGGCTCTCTCTCTCTGTCAGAATAAATAAACTTAAAAAAGAAAGAAAAAGAAAATCATTGCGGAAAGAATCATTTTTTTTTTTTCCAGGATAGAAATCATTTGAGAGGCTTTATGGATTCTGCCCTGCTGTGTGCCTTTGGACAGTTCTCTCTCTGTGTGTAGTTTTTTTAATCCTCATCTGTAGGATGAAAGGGCTTGAGGGGTTTACAAGCCTTTAACAAAAAACCAGAGAGTGCTTTCTCTTGATGAAACCCCAGGCTAAAGCAGAGGTGCCATTGTAGTCACAGAGCACACACACGTGCTAGACCCTGCACTGAGATGCCTCTGCTCAAAACCTGACGAGGCAAGAATGATTAGTGTCCCCATTAATACATGGAGAAACAGAGGCACACGGCTTGGAAGTGGCCCAAGATGGGATTCGAACCCTGTTTGTCTATAGCACACACTTTGCTGTTGGCACATGTCATCCTCCCTTCCTCTCGTCCCTCCCCTGCTGGCTCTCAGTGGCTCCCCAGGATACCAGGGAGCACAGTCCAGAAACTCTAAGCCTCCTTCTACCTACGAAATTAAATGACTCTCTTGGAAACAGCAGCCAAATTAGCCTTTTAGAGCCTGAAAAAAATTGGGGTAAGCTTTTTTTTTTTTTTTTTAAATCCATCTGT